GCAAAGACTACATATACCTCTGACTACAGATCTTGATTATTATAATCAACACCTAGACACATGATTCCCCTAGTGAACCTGCAGAAACAACCTTCTGATTGTGGTCTATGTAGGTGAACATGACTGAATCAACCTGTGTAATGAAAGGATACCTCTATTTGGAAAATAAGAATGCAAAGATTTAGAAGTTTGCTGTCTGTCTCCACAGAAGAAATACATCTGCCATTGGAGAGCTAAGCAAGGGTGGCTGATAGCTGTACTCATGGGTAAAGGCTTAGCTTCCAGCCTTTGACACTGGTGGGGGGGGGGGGGGGCGACCTGTGTGACATGGGAGTGGTGGGAGGAAGGCAGATCCCTGAGGCTGCACTCTAGAAGGAGATGCTAGCAGCCTGGCTCTTCCTGGGTGTCCCTTTTTTACTTCCTTTGTCATGAAATGAGCAGGATCCTCAGCCACATACCCCTGCTGTGACCTTCTGCTACCCCGACTTCCAAAAGCAATGGGTCAACTGACCACGGATTGGAATCCTCCTCAAAAATGGAGCCAAGAGACTACTTTCCTCTAAGTTGACTTTTTCCAAGGTGTCCTGTCAAAGTGTCAGAAACCTAACACTCAGAGTGACAGTTTAGTTTTGATGTCTAGCTGGCAAGCTATGTATGATGTCCTATTTCAGACTGTGCTGTATTTCTGTGTGTTTCTAGACTAGGGCGGATGATAAACTAATGGTGGGTGGTGATCTTTATATCTTTCCCTTCTTTCTACGAAGACAATGTCACTCAAGACAGAAATTATTAGAGAATTAAAGTACTCAGATTTACAACATTAGTAGTTTGTTCTGAATCCAGTTTATATAATTTATTGATTGATTTGGGGGCTTTATGAATATATACTTTACAGCATATGATTTGTATAAGCTAGGGAAATTGGATAAATCAAATTTTACAGATTCAATCACAAATTAAAGACTCTAGAAAGAAATTAGATTATGAAAAACTATGACATTAAGCATATCTTACCAAAATAATAGACATACAGAAGTACACATGCAGGATATATATTTCCATCTTTGGAAACCAAGTATTATTACTGCTATACAATTACAATTTTAGAGCACATTGTTCCTTCAACTTTTCCTACCTATTTCATATTCTGCCCTTTCTTCAAAAGTAAAGATAACCCAGAATTATTCTTAAACTGGGTTATTTCATGAATTTTTTAAAAGTAGAAAAACACCTTAGTTTTTAGGAAATTATTTAAAGGCAAAACATATAGATTCCCTAAATTACTGTGTGAGAAATCTGTGCCTCTCATTGAGATGAAAACTAATTAAGAAAGAAGAAAAAGATTTGATGATTATTAGAGTTCTGCCTTCTTCATTTCTTGTAAACATTATTCAGTGAAAGTAAAATGAAAAAGAATGCAGGCACTTCAAGATGTCAAGAACATCTAAGACACAAAAACATAATCCTCTATCTCTTACGTCATCTACATCACAGTGCCACAGTGTTGTCTTTCTGACAATAGGAAGCATTCAACACCTGATGAATGAGGTACTGTCCAAAAAAAAACATCTGGGTGTCTTTTGAGCCAATTTTAAGTGGGTCACTATGGGTAGCAAAATTAAAATTATTGCACAGATAATTTCCCACTTCTAGGAATTCCAGAACTCTTATTTTTTCTCTTTTTAGTAATATAAAATTACTATATATATATATATATATATACATATATATATAATATAAAATATTTACCACTTTAAGCATAGTTTTTTTAAATAAGAGAATACATATTTCTTTTTTCTATATTACGATTTGTCACTAAAAATGATCTTATATTATTTCTTTATTCAAATTAAGCACAAATTAACTGGATAGAAAAATGTCTTGCTTTCTGTGTAGTATAGGGTACCTCTGACAGTGGAACCCCAAATCTCACTACTCTGGAGAAGATACGGGTATTTTGCTATAGCTGTAATTCTGCCTGCTCACTGTCTTTGTTCTTCCATGATTAGAAGAGAATTACATAAATGAATTTTAACTGTACACCAATTAAACAATTTAACAACATAAATACAATAAAGTGAAGCAATGGGTTTTTATATTTCTAGAGCTATATTGATTAAAAATACTAAAAATGAATGAATGAAATATATAAACAGTGGTTAAGATATATATATATATATATATATATATATATATATATATCTTCTAAGTTTATTGCTGAATTAGTTCCACAAAGTCCAAAAGAAACTGAAGGCATAGATTTGCCCAATAGGCAAAGACTAGAACTCTGTCCTCTTACGGTTTTGATCAATTCTTACAGACATTCAGGTTTCATCTTTCACAAGTTCCTAGAACACAGGTGTAAAGATATGTAAACCTTACTCTAGAGCAGTGGTTCTCAACTTTCCTAATGCTGAGATCCTTTAATACAGTTCCTTGTGCTGTGATGATTCTCAACCTTAAAATTATTTCAATGCCACTTCATGACTGTAATTTTGCTACTGTTATGAATTGTAATGTAAATATCTGATATGCAGGATATCTGAAATTCGATTTCTATGAAAGGGTCATTTGACCCCCAAAGGGGTCATAACCCATGAGGTGAGAGCTGCTGGTCTAGACACTATCAAAAGCTTCACATTAGAAGAAATGACTGCAAAGTTAGTCCCAGTGTTTGCGAGTGAATTGTGTAGAAACAAACCTCCCAAGAAGGACGTCTCAGAAAGGTTGCTTATATTCTTTTTTATTTATCTAAATTTTTTTTCCTTTTACACACCAACCTCTGTTCCCCCTCCCTTCTTTTCTCCTGCTCCCCCCACCTACTCCCATCCCACACCCATCCCCACCTCATAGAGGGTAAGGCCTCCTTTGGGTAGTCAACACAGGTTGCTTACATTCTTAAACATTATTGAATGGCAACAGGGAAGCATGACTCATGAGGATTTACTGTATTGCCTAAGATCGTCTCCTATGAGCTAAACACACACACACACACACACACACACACACACACACACACACACACAGAGACAGAGAGAGAAAGAGACAGAGAGACAGAGAGAGATGATGATGATGATGATGATGATGATGATGATGATGAAGCTTTTCTACATACAGAGTCTCCATTACAATGGTTGCAACACACACAGACAAACCCTTTTCAAGGAAATCCCATGTCACTGTAAGCCACAGAGAATTCTCACAGAAAAGACTCCTGGCAGTGGTAGAACAGGAGCTTCAGAGTGAAATTATTAGCATTAATGGAAGTAGAAGTTGTAGGTTAGTGTTTCCCTGTATAACATATTACCAGGTGTGTGGACTACTTTGGTCTTGGATTCCCCCCCCCCCCCCCCCCCGCTTCTTCTCTCTTACAGAAAGAATGACCTCTCTTCTAGGAATTCCCAATTTTCCTAGTTCACTCATATTTTATGAAACATATATTCCAGATGCCTGGGATGTATTTAGATAAATGTTAGGGGATTTTGTTTCCCATGGATATTTTCATCTTACCCTGATCCCTTGGGTGATATGATGTAGACTAATAACCTGTTCATCAGCCCTTGAGGGATTGCTTTGTTCCCTCTCACTTTCCAAAGCTGATGCTGAGAAGCCCTATGTTTGGGGGACAGACTTGTAACTTACTGACTGTGGAAGGCTGGAGACCAGATTATTCTCTTATGTCTCCCAATTTCACAATGACGAGCCTGATGTAAGTCTTTTTCAGTCATGTTAATTTTGTTCAACCAAGAGATGTACAGTTTCCCAAAATGGCAATCTTCTTAGGTTACTTATTTGATAACTTTTCATATATTTGTTTTATTTTTCGGAACTCTTAGAACTTTGGTGTTCATCTTCCTGAACTGGTTTTCTGTTTTATTCCTTCCTATTCATTGCTTTCTTGTTTGTGTTCTTTCATACTGGAGGCCTTTTCCAAAATGCAGGACTCATTTTTTTTTATTAATTATATAATACTAATATTTAAAAGGGTTTTAGGGACATGTTGTCTGCTGGGCAGGCAAGAATATCCATTGTGCAATATCTGACAATATCAATTCCTAAATGTCATTATCTGTAGGTCAGAAAAAGAAACCCAATCTTGTGTAGGTGTAGTTGTGCAGAGGGAGTTGAGAGAGCATTGGTACTGCCCAGCAAGTTTGCTAAAGCAGATGAAGGAAGAGAACTAGTGCTGTAACTCCCCATTCAGATGTTCCACAGGCCCTCTGGATTTCACAGTCTAGCTGTCATCTCCTTCACCCTCTGACTATTTTCCAATGCCACAACCTCTCTTGTCCTGTGACTGGATAATAAACCAACAAGCTCCAACAAAAGCAGGAAGAACAGGAGTGACAAAGTTATTTCATTAGGAATGCATTAGGAATGAGGCAGAAAAGGGAGCAGCCTGAGTCACTGGGTGCTTTTCAGAGATCTGCTGCCTTTCCTAGAGGATCATAATAAAAAACACCCTCTACTTCAGACATAGAAGCCTATCACAATGACTTTTAGAAGTTCTGTGCATACTAAACACATAGCAAACACACACACACACACACACACACACACACACACAATTGTGCTTAAGCCAGAACCATTAAGATTAGTCAGCTCATCCAGTTATGTTTCCATTCATATAGTTAATCTTCACATAAACATGCAATGTAAACAAAGTGTAATGTGTACTTTCAGATCTGATTTTGGCATCATCTCAACATCTTGGCCGATATCCAATATACATTCACAATATGGACATGGAGGTCAGTTATGACTGAGATATATTTATTTATTGTCTTGCTTTAGTACTGAGGTGCAGTGAAAGGTTACAGTTAAATGATGATATTTAACTAACAACATTTATTAATGCCAAGAGTAAATTCAGTCGTAAATATAAATAGCTCAATCCAGAAATATCACAACCTACCCAAATACAAAGATAAGCAACCAAGTATGGAGTAACATGACTTCAAACCACACAGAAACAGGAAGCGATTTAAAACTCTGCTTACCTCTTGTCTGCAACCCCTTCCCACATGCCTCACTGGTGCCTGTTCTCCCCTGCCTGACAGACTCTGGAACCAAGATGCAAGGGCTCCATTTCTGTAGTTTCCACCTGTGACCACAAGGAAGAATACAACAGAATGTTTACCATGACAAATGTGCAGAGGAAATACTTGCAATACTTGACTTAGAGATGCAGAAATAGAAAGACCAGGGTACAGTTAGTCTGGGTTTGAGTAAACAAAAACAAAAACAAAAAACATGCCCTGTACTGTAAACCTTGCCAATTAGCCCATTATCCATGAGGTCATAGACTCCAAAGAAGACTGCCCCTACTTTCCTAAACCAGTTTAATTTCTAACTGCATTCTAAAACCTTATCTTTATCCCTTGGGTAAATGTAACTCTCACCTTTCATTAAAGGGATGTCTTACTGCAGCAGATTGAGACCATTGGAGAAATCTGCAATGGTTCAAAACACAAAAAGCAGCATACCATGGGGTTCCCAACCCCAACAGATACATCTACAATGTGACCTGTGCACCTAAGACTCAGGAAACTTCATGAAAGAGGAGACCAAGGATTGTAACAGACAGAGGATCAGAACATCTGCACTGAGATAATGACTTCTATATGGGACAGGGAAGCTACAACCAGGATTCAAATTCAAAAAAAATTGTCAGCCTCAACAAGCCCTTCACAGTGACAACATAACTTGGCATGCCAATATAAATATAAGACATCTCATAGGGTCCCAATCCTATATGCAAAAATTACAGGCAGTTAATGGCTGTTGAAAGGCTGAGAATCATTTTTGATTCTCATGACTGACCTGTCAAATCCTAAGTAGCCATCCTTAAACAAAAATATGCATTAAACACACACACACACACACACACACACACACACACACACACACACACACATATATATATATAAATATATATATATTTATATATATGCACTGTGGAATAGTCCTTCTGTACCCTGTAAAGATGTGTTGCTCTCCTTGTTAATAAAGAGCTCATTGGCCAATGGATAGGTAGGATTTTCAGAACAGAGGGAATGCTGGGGAGGGGAGAAGAAGGGAGGGGTCTGAGGAGATGCCTTGAGATGCAGAGAGAGCATGATGGTAAGTACATTCATGAGGAAAACATGCCTCAAGGCAGCACATAGATTAATAAAAATGGGTTAATTTAAGTTATAAGAGCTAGCTAAAAAATGAGCCTGAGCTATTGGCCAATCATTCATAATTAATATTAAGTCTCTGTGTAGTTATTTGGGGAGCACCTGGCAGGACAGCTGATATTGGTGGTCTAGACAGAACAGTCTGCCAGTACCTATATATTTTATTCATATACATACATATGTACATACATATATAGTGTGTTACAATAAATAAATAAAATAAAATCCAAACCTAGAAAGTGTTGAGGATGTTAAGAGCTGACTGTTGATTTCACTCTCTACCCAGGTTCATGATTAAAGTTGTGATTATACTTTAGGGAATTTGAACATTTCATGTATGAAATGTTAGCATATAAAAAAATTATCAAGGGGAAGCTTAAAATACACAGACCACCACCATGCCGGGCGGTGGTGGCGCACGCCTTTAATCCCAGCACTCGGGAGGCAGAGCCAGGTGGATCTCTGTGAGTTCAAGGCCAGCCTGGACTACCAAGTGAGTTCCAGGAGAGGCGCAAAGCTACACAGAGAAACCCTGTCTCGAAAAACCAAAAAAAAAAAAAAAAAAAAAAAATACACAGACCACCCTGTTTACTTACAACCATTTTAAAATTTAAATGTAAAGAAGAAAAGGGAGCAATCTTTGTGTTCTACTGGAAAATAGAAGATTCAAAGTTTAAACATCTGAAAGCTTGGGATGCAAACTTTTACCTATTCTCCTGTGCTTCTGTTTTCTTTTTAAATATGGTACTTCTAGGATTCGGACATAACTCTAACATTTCCATCAGTTATGAAACTAAATGAAAAAGGTGACTCTTGGGACTGACCTTACCCAAAAGTTCATCTTAGGGAAGTGGAATGGATGCTATCTGATAAAATATCAGTACTTGCTTTTCTCTGAGGAAATGGTCCCTGAAGAAGTCACCTGGCTTCTCTCTGCTTACCTTTCTCAAGTTAATAAAAGTGTCTATTTTTGACACACGGAGGATAGCTTCTGTTCTAAAAGATAATTTCTACACAGTACTCTAGAAAACTCAAGGCCAAAGTCTAACCAGGGTCCTTGTTCCTCTGGTTAGTGTGCTAGGTCCATTTTATATGAGCCAAGAACTCTGCTAAGACAGGAGCTGATTTATCCACTGGCCCTTGCCTCACAAGCTCCTTTAAAATAATGGCCAGGAAAGAGGAAAATTACTGTTTGTCTTCAACTGGCGTTCTTAATGAGAATGGCTTGAGTTTGGTTGGAAATCTGGAAACAGATAAATAGAAAGTGTGCTGTGATCAAATAAATCAGAGATTAACTTCTACAGTAACAAATTCTCTTTGTTTATACATAGGTTCCATCAACATAGTCATACCCACAATAACTAAAGTGGTGATGGGCTCCTGTCCACCTTTTGAATCATGATGTCTTATTCATTTGAATTCCTTAAGCTAAATTTGCTTAGGCTTCTCAGACTAACATGAAACTAGGGTATTCACTCAAGTTTAGCTTGCTGTATAGACGGAAAGGGATGGAAGGAGTTTTCAGAGATTTGAGATGATAAACTAGAATTCAGTCAGAGTAAGTGACAGCCTGAGGCTGGACCATTTTGGTTACTTGCTCATTGGCTTTTGGTTCCATCTCACTGTCAATTCTGTGTAAAGATCATGTATTCATGTTGTTTTCTTCTTTAGTGTCTAATTTAATGTACTGGATGATACAGGATAATGTAGGTGGGCATTTCCCTCTGTTCTGATTTGGGAAATGTGGATATGTGGCCTTAATGCAGTTAAAAGAATGAACCAGAAGATAACAATAAAAAACCACCTAAACTTGATTTTTGGGGACAACTTCATCCAGAATACCAATGTAGGAGAAACAAAATCTAACTGGAACCACAGTGTTCAACTTTATAAGTTCTTCTACAAGATTCAGAGAGCTGTGTTAACTTGGACACAGTTTGAAGTACACATCAGGAAATGGGATCTGGATGAGGAGAACTGATTTCTGGGAAAATGACAGGAGGTAAATAAAAAATAGTTAGAACATTGATTAAATTGAAGTGCTATCAAATAGTAAGGATAGGAAAATCGAATGGTCCATCAATGGTTTCTGAGATCTCAGATGATTATAATGGCCATGGGTTTATTAAAATGTCTGATAATATTTGATTTGGCCAAGTTCTTCACTTGGCTACTTGCCCCAAGAGCAATTTTCTGGACATAGTAGTTTCAATATTTACTCACAGCACAAGAGGGTGATTACTGACAGTGATTCCACAATGGTCCCATGGTTATGGGAGCAAAGAGCAGCCTGGGCCTGATCCCAGTGTTTATCTACATCCTCCACAAACTGTCCATCACATTGGAAGGATGGAGTGAAGCATGGCAAAGCAGTGGCGTTGGACTTCTCAATGGCACTCTTACTGTGTATCTAAAATGAGCTCTTTTTGGAAGAGCAATGAAACGGAATCATTCCTGAATAAATTAGCCCTTAAGCCTCACAGCTTTAAGACACAGTTTCTAAAATTATCAGGATAAAACATTAGATAATTTTGTAAAATACGTTTTTGAGTAAGTTGGTAAAAACTGTATGATTTTTAAACCATGAGCTATTATCATAAATCAGTGACTACATTTAATCTAAGATTATTTAAAAGCAATGTTATCCCTGAATTTGAAACTTTAAAATTCTAAAAGATTGGATGGTTAGGATTTGGAAAAGAAGCTGGGATATGGTTTCATAAACATTAGTTACCAATTTCTAAAAGGGAAGAGAGAGGGAACATAAAAAGTTTAAGAGTTATCCTTTTTCTCTTACTAAAAGGAGGCTGTTTGGGAACAGGTATCAACAAAGACACATTGCATATGTGGATGAAATTTACCAAGAATAAATAAAAATGATATTAAAAACATATCATCCAGTTCCTTAATAAACATGCATCTGATTTATGGTTTGAGACAGGAATATATATGTATATACATATATACAGGAATGTATACAAATGCACACACATATCCTAATAAGATGAAGTGTGAATCTATTTAGTCTTATTAAATAAAAACCAGGAGTCTGCTGTGGGATGTCTTTCTGTATGCTGTGGATATGTGTTGCTCTGATTGTTTGATAAATAAAGCTATTTGGCCTATGGCAAGGCAACTTAGAGGCAGGTGGGAAATCCAGGAGAGAGACAGGAAGAAGAAAGACAGAGGTGCAGTGGGGGGTGGAGGGATGGCTCAGTGGTTAAGAGCACTGGCTGTTCTTCCAGAAGACCCAGGTTCAGTTCCCAGCCCCTACATGGCAGCTCAAGATCATCTGTAAATCCAGTTCCAGGGAATCTGACACCCTCACACCAATGCACCTAAGAAATAAAGTAAAATAAATTATATAAAAAGAAAATGAAATCAAGAAAGAAAGAAAGAAAGAAAGAAAGTAAGAAAGAAAGAAAGAAAGAAAGAGGTGGAGGAGATGCCATCCCACTGTCCAGGGAGCAGCATGCAATGGCACACAGGTAAAGCCATGGAACATGTGGTAACATGCAGATTAATAGAGATGGGCTGAGTTTAGTTATAAGAGCTAGCTAGCAAGAAAATTGAGCCATAGGCCATGGTCATGCAATTCATAATTAATATAAGCCTCTGTGTGTTTACTTGGGTCTGAGCAGCTGAAGGACTGGTTGAAACACAGGAAAACTTCCAGCTACATTTGGCTGCCCAGTGTGTTGACTTGACCTTCAACCTAAAGCTTGAGAGAACTTAAAAAAAGGTTCTAAAATGGAGCTAAAAACAGCTTCCTATGTGTGTCTCTCAGGACAGCTACAGCCTGCAAGCTTGACCTGCAGCATGGTGGATTCCCGCCAAGGTACACAGAGGCATATCCAAGCCATGTAGTATGCTGCATGGTGGATTTAGCTTTTGCTAGTACAGACAACAACAACAACAAAAAGGTTTCTGGCCTACATGCTGCTGGATAGAGGCATGGGTCCACTGCCTCCCAGAGTCAGCAGACAGCATGGCTCCCAGAGCTGGAGGTGAATTACCTCTGCCATGTTGAAAAGCTGAAATGGCTGCTGACTCCACCCATTAAAATCTCTCCTGGTCAAAGAAGGATCGTAGATTCAGAATAAGGCAGATTCAGATGGAATAAACCTCTAAATAGTTTACAATGTAGGTAAAAATACAAGTAGGCTTGGAGGAGAGAGGAAAAAGAGGATAAACAATTAGATAAGGAAATAGTTTTAAAAAATAAAGTCTTTAAAGAGACAGTAAAAGTAATATAAAAAATAAGCCACATAAAGGTGGAAATTACACAGAGAGACTGGATTATATTGTCTTTGAGATTTTTAACTGCAGAAAGACACTTGATTGCAAAGGCTGCTGAGTTAAGCCAATATATATATTTTAAAGGTTTCATGACTTCAAAGTTTATGTCTAAGGATACATTGCTTTGGAAAAGAGGTTCTGCTTTTGTTTTCACAGAAGATGAGAACCTGTGGATTGCTTCCAGGCTAATATGATTTGATCGGCCAAGACCACCTGAAACGTCTCCAATGACACAATGGCCCAGATGATTCAACATCCAAAACAGCTTCAAGGCAACTGGCTCAGACAATGCAGCATCACAAACTACTCCAGTCAGGACTTGACCATAATTATTAATTTTCTCAGGATCCCCATAAGATTGCCAGCACCCCCATCCAGCAGGAAGTAGTATGAGAAGCTATGCCCAAATTCCCCAAATATTGTTTATAAATGTTTATTTTTATTTAAAGAGGGTTGATTATAAATGCAATCTCTTTCTAAAGAAGAAAAAGGGATATTATAGATATGATAGGATGAAGAGTAACAACTTGTTTGAAATGTTTTATATTGCTATGGATTTTAGTTTATTGATATAAATTTAAAGTTAATTTTTTATACTGTATATATATTTCTACTCTCAAGGTATTATGTTTAATGTAACTCATTTAAATTGTAATGGATAATTAAGAAATACAGATTAATATTTAGTCTTCTATGATAGTCAAACTTATAGTAATGTTTGTTAAGTTTTCTAGGTATACATAGATATAATTCAATTAGGTAGGTAATCTTCAAACACTTCAAAGACCTACAGAATATGGTATTTAAAATGTTTTAAAAACTTAGACTTTCTGGACAATGAGACACATCTGCTCCTGGCAACACTGATTTACTTCAAAGAGGAAGATGGGCATCCAAGACACTCCATATGGAGTTTATCTTCTTGGCAAAAATAGCCATTTGGGCAAGAAACTGTTCTTGCCTGGACTGCTTGACAAAATGTTGTATCGACTGGACATGCAGGCCCCATGGAAAAATGACCACTAAATTCTGCCAAAACAAGGTGAGATGGTCCTTCAGGTTCCTGCTTTGCAGAGGAGACTGCTAGACATTCTATAGGACACAGGAAGAAATGACTAAAAACTCTAGGTTTATTGGCTGAAGATGGATGCCCCAATGTTACAGAGAAACTTTGGATGGCTGTCCAGGTAGCCAGATGTCTCTGATATTTCCAGAATTTTGGAAGTTGCTTATAATGCACTTTCTGTTTACTTAGATAATATTATATCCTTCTGAGGTCTTTGATGGAGTTGAAGACTAGATAGTTATAATTATAGTTTTCCTTGGGTATGATAAAAGATAAGTTAGATATGAAACTTTAGACTCACAAATATAGGACCGAGGATAAAATATTTTCTTTAATTCTGCCAAGTACAAATGGATTAGATATTTTAACTGTAATTCTTGCTTGATAACTGTTTTGTTATATGTAATTTTGCTATGTTAAAGTTAAAACCTTCCTTTTTTGATTAGACAGAAAAGAGGAAGTGCTGTGGGATGTCTTTCTGTATGCTGTGAATATGTGTTACTCTGACTGTTTGATAACTAAAGCTGTTTGGCCTATGGCAAGGCAGCTTAGAGGCTGGCAGGAAATATAGGAGAGAGACAGGAAGAAGAAAGGTAGAGATGGAGGAGATGCTATCCTTCCATTCAGAGAGCAGTATGTAATGGCACACAGGTAAAGCCATGGAACATATGGCAACATATAGATTAATAGAGATGGGATGAGTTTAGTTATGAGAAGTAGGTAGCAAGAAAATTGAGCCATAGGCCATGGCCATGCAATTGTAATTGATATAAGCCTCTGTGTGTTTACTTGGGTCTGAGTGGCTGCAGGACTGGATGGGCCACAGGAAAACTTCCAGCTACAGGAGTCAGATATGGAGGGTGAAAGCTGAAAGATCAGTGAAGCAGAGTAGCAGTCACCAGGAACTTTTGACCTCTACAAATCCTCAGACTGAACAGGCCAGATTATATTTCCACCTCCCAAGTGCTGGGATTAAAGGTGTGTGCCACCACTGCCTGGTCTCTATGGTTAACTAGTGGCTAGCTCTGCCCTCTGATCTCCAGGCAAGCTGTATTTGTCAGAACACAGAGAAAATATCATATGACATATATATCCCAGGATTGTCTTGAATTTATGATCCTCTTGTGTCAGCCTCCCAGGAGCCAGGTCATGGGTGCGTGCACCATGCCCAACTTAGTTTTTTAAAGACTTGTTGAAAGTTCTCAGATGAGAACAGCAGGATTACTATGTTACCTCATGGTGTGGTAGTGTTTTGTATGTATTTGTGCTGTGTTTGCATGTGTATGTCTATATGTCAGTCTGTGTGTGTCTGTGTGTATGTATGTATATGTATATATGTGTGTAGATCTACATGGATATGTGTGTCTATGTGTTTCTGTGTTAATCTGTCTATGTATATAAGTATTTGTATGTATGTATTGTGTGGATATGTATATGTGTTTAAAAGGTGTTTGTGGATGTTCATGTATGTCCATATGTATGCCTGGTTGTATGTGTGTGTATATGTGGTTTTGTGTATTCCTCTACACATGTGTATATGTCTATGTGTGTGGTTTTGTATGTATGCCTGTATCTGTGTGTAGATGTGTCTGTGTGTCTGTGTTCATGTGTTTGTACGTGTATATGTTTAAATGTGTATGTGCATGTGTGTATGTTTGTGTGTATGCAAGTCTGCATATGCATGTATGTGTGTATGTATATGTGTTTGTGTGTATATGTATGTGTGTTTCTAAATGTTTCTGTGTGTATATGTGCCTAGAGATATATGTTTGTGTGTGCATGTTTGTATGTGTCTGTGTATGTGTGTGTTTATATGTGTTTGTATATGATTGTGTGTATCTGTATGTGTGTCTATGTGTGTATGTGTAATATGTGTTTGTGTGCATGTTTATATGTGTTTGTGTATGATTGTATGTGTCTGTATGTGTTTGTATCTATGTGTGTGCATGTGTCATGTGTGTGTGTGTGTGTGTGTGTGTTTTCCAGATGAAAAGCTCATCCTGTCTCTTTTTAGATCATTATCTAGAAAGCTGATTGCAGAAGAGGCAGCATTCCAGTAGCTCACTTACAGCCAATCATGCTCCAGTTTTACTCTCCTGTTAATTAGGTATTCATGTTCTTTATTCCTTCTGAATACATTCTAGCAAAGAGAAGAAAATTACTGAATATTTGAAAGTATAAAATGTTACAACTTAAAAAAATCACTAAGCAACCATATATGAAAGAAAATATTGTACAATTTGCTCAGGACTAATGATAATTCAAAAATAACTAATTTACCTGTACGTAGGACACAATGAAATATCTTCACACTCTCTCTCTTCAAATAAGGTATCTGGGCACTCTTGGCCTCCATTGGCTGCTTCCTGGATGATAATCCTGTATCGAGACTGTTTTATTGTGGTATTTCCTGAAGGAAATGAGAAATAAAATTATAATCCCTGTTAGTTACATCAACACAAATCAAATCCAGGTAGTAACTGGAAGGAAAGTAGAAAAAGATATAAGTTAAGCATGTTTGTAACGGCAAGCTGAGACAAGAGCAACAGACGCTGGGAGCTGGTGCCCGTTCTCCCTCCTGTGGAAGAGAAGCTCTACACGAAGGCAAGGTGAATTCAAATGTCACTTCAAACCTGTGCATTCTGATGTGCAAGCATGGCTTTCTACTGTCCTGATGCATTTTAAGTTAAACAGCTTTTAAAAGAAGACTTGTATCATTTTTATTTTTGTGTGTGCATGAGCGTTTTCCTGCATGTATGTCTATGAACCGAGTGAGTACCTGATTCCTGGGAAGGACAGAAAAGGGCAGCTGACCTCTAGATCGAGAGTTGCAGGAAGCTGTGAGCTACCATGTGTGTACTGATAAGCAAACCCTGGTCCTTCGCAAGAGCAGCAAGTGCTCTTAGTTGGGCCATCTCTCCAGCTCCGATTGTCCTGTAATTAGTGATACCCTGCACTTCAAATGCCATGCAGACACCATATCATGGACTGGGGCTCATATTCCCTCCTTCAGCTCAGAGAGCAACTGAAGGACCTGGAGTTTCGTTGTGTATCTCCTTCAATTTGAAGTTTTTCCTTATAGTCTGCTTTATGAGGTAGGAAGTCTTCTATTAAAAATTAATAGTGTCTGAATCACTGATTGATCCTTACTCTTTATAATCAATGTTTGGGAAAGACAGTACAACTGAAAGGGAGCAGAAGATTGCTGATTTCACACTTTTGCTGAGAGGTATCAGTAGGCACATCAACAGAAAGGCATGGCATGTCAGTGCACTATGGTCAGCTCAACAATTGTCAATTATGTTGCAGTGTTTAGAAATGATTTCAATTACTATATTCAGGATATACTACCCGCACTAAATTTGCAACTAAAATTCTAGTGTTACAGGACTTATAATGAAACAGGAAGAGGAGGAGGCAGATCTAATCCTGGTAAAGACACTGGCAGTGTGAGCAGGGTCAGAGACAGAGCTAGCATTTGTTTTTGCCTTAAGAAACCAAAGGTGGCTCATGGAAAGCACAGATTTTATTCTAAGCCTGGAAGGCTCCGTAGCAAAATTAAAGTGCAAAGGACAAAACCATTTCAGGTCAAGGAAAAAGTTTGAGAAAAGACTGAGATGGAAAAGTGCGAGGAATTTACAGAGGAAGCCACTGTGCATTCAGTGAGAAAGTATGTGTATATAGGAGTGGGGAGGAGTTGCGAGAGGGGGCAAGCATAGGAGAGAAACAAAGAATGGAGAAGGGGGATGTGCAGGACACAAAGGGATTAATTGGTAGATATGGGACAGGTAATGGACCTAACCAGGTTAATAAGTTAATTTCTAGAAAGCCAGTAAACTAAATGGAGCAAAAACAAAAGAAGAAAAAGAGCATTTGTGGCAATTATGTGTGCACATGGATCTTTAAAAAAAACATCAATACAAGAAGACTTACAGAGAAGAGCAACTGACCCACAACAGCTTTCCTACCTCTGCTTCTCTCTTTAGAAGGGACATTTTTAACTGTTCTGTTTCCATATTTGATTTGCGGCTACTTCCAAATCATATGCTTTTGTCATTACTTCTTGATGCACGACCTTTAAAGTTACACGACGACCTTCTGCTATAATTGCTGGGAATTTACCTTTCACTGATTTTCAGTTTTCTTGCCATTGCTTAGATATTTTTATGCCTCTGTTGTTTATTTAGTCACTCAGTGACCAACAGTTATTTTCAGCTTTACTCCTCACTCCTGTCTCTTGTTTGCCCAGTCTCCACTGCTCTGCAGTCCTCCTGACTCAGTGGCTTTTGGCCCCAATGGCCACCACTTCACAATAGTTAGGTCAGGGCTCCACATGCCTTGTGCTCAGTTTCTTACTTCCACACTCTCTGCCAAGTCATTTCTGTTTCCTAAACAGGGGTTTTGATCTCCTATCTAAGGGCGATCCTTTCCCTTTATTCTTAAAAATAGCTGATTACTTTAAAATCTGTTCCTGCCTTTTGTAAGATCTTCAGAAGGAAAGGGGCGCTTAGCGCTTGCACATGTCCTGATCTTGAGCCGAAAGAAGAGATGTATAGGATCTTCACCATGCGCTCTCCAGACTCCATGCTGTCCCTGGATAACCTGCTGTATACACGGGGAAGGAGCTAACTATGCTAGGATGCCTTCAGCCCCCTTGCACACTGGCTTGTTTGAAGTTTGTCTAATGGAAAGATGGTCACTGATGGGGGAAGATAAGAAGGGGACAGGAGAAAAGAGATCGTAATGATTACTCAACTAGACACCTTCCTCCGAGTCTCCCTCCTGTGGCCCCCTCTGCCTTCCACTGTGAGTCGCCGTCCTTACAGATCCTTGCTGGCACTTGTCTCTGGTTGTTGCCGGCTGGTTCCATTAACCGCATCCTCCACTATCAATGTTTGGTCTCCCGAATGTCACCGGCCTGGCTCTAAACCATCATCCCTTGTTAGTTCATGATAACATGGTCTATTCCATGGAAAATGTCTGTTCATGAAATTTTTCTCAGTTGCCCATCTGACAGGCTTGCTTCTTACCAGGGAATGCCCAAGTTCCAAGAAGAGATGGCTGCCATCAAACAGAGCAAATGATATGATCATCCCTCCCAGGCAGCTTGTGGAGGAGTGTAGAAATAGCAACATATAAAGAAAACTGTCACGAAAACATTGCTTCAAGATCACAGTATCTTCATTTGGGTGTAGACAGTCTTTGTAAATAATTATGCCTTTAGGAGAATGTCTCTCCACCCACTCCCAATCAATTCCAGCTTCATTGTGCTTATTCTGAAAATAATTATTTAGCTAGAATTTACACGAGTGTGAGTTTGCATGTATGATATTCACGTATTATCTTAGGAGACTTTAAATAAATATCAAGGATAATGAGAAGGAATGAATGATGCTGTCATATAGCATTGAGAAGGCAGTTAATAATTGTTGAGGAAGGACTGTCCCTTCCCTGGAGATGTATAGGCAGTTAATAGTTACAGGGGGAAGAAAGTCATTCCCTTTCATGGTATAGTCACTAGTAAGTTGCTCATGCTCCTGTTTATAACCCCTTCACTCATGACCATGTAAATAACCCTAATGAAAGCACTGATTCAGGGTGGGGCAGGGAGGGAGGGAGAGAGGGAGAGAGAGAACACCCAAAGACCTATGGCAAGGCTTAATGAACTTCATTTCCACCTCACACCATGCACACACAATATTCACACACACACACACACACACACACACACACACACACACACACACACACGGCCTTGATAGTGTGACTCCAGATTGAACTGTTCAAAGGCTGTGTTTAAGAGTTACATTGATAGTGGTGTCCAATGGTTATTTATTATATAAATGAAGGGGAAATGCACATGACTTTAAAGAGGGGCATAGAATTAATGAGTTGGAGAAATGGAAACCATACCAGCATATGTAGAACATCCATTAAGTTCTACATATGCTGGTGTGTATGTCTTTCTCCTTGGATGGTCATAGTGACCAGTCAGTTCTGAAGGGTATTCTATGAATCTGTCATGAACAGTGGATTTGATACAGTGATCCTGTGGCAAAGACAAGGGCAGGCAGTGTGCACTGCCAAAATGGTGCTATAAAAACTATTATCACACAACCTCCATGTGGAAATCAGTTTTAGGATGATGAGTTTGTAGTAATTCAAGAAAAACAAGAAAAGGGAATGCTTTTGACAGCCTCCAAGCCAGGCAAGACAAGGTAAGCCAAACTGAGGATACATTCACAGAATGACACTAAACGAAGTCTTCCTTCTCCACTGACTACACAGAAAGATGACTTATGGGAAGCAGGTATGGAAGTAGATATGGTGGCTTACAGATAGAAGATACTTGGAGAATATTTATACATATAAAACAAAAGATTTACAAGAACAGCTTAACGTCAGGTCCACTCTGAGCATTTTGTGTATACTGCCTTATTTTATTATTATAACTCCTGAGATTATTATTATTAATAATACTACCATTATTATTATAATTGTTCTCATTTTGCAGATTAGAAATGGACAGTGGAAGAAGGAAATATTTTCTCAAAATCACTTTTATACAATTAGACTTCCTTACACAGACATTAAAGTCTATGATCTTTCCATTAAAAGGGAACATTCCAGAGAAAGGTTTCTAATCACAATTCATGGATGGATCCCTGTTTTCTCTCTCTTCCACTGCTCACATATCTGTAGAAGACTTAAATGTCAGTAATGTGAGTGATGTTTCCCACCTCATTAGGCCTATGAAAAATAACAATAACTTAAAATGCTCATTTGCAAACATAAACAATTACTTAAGAATGATTATGGGTAACAAACAATTCACTTGAATTCAGTTTTGATTTATGCATATTCTATCATCACTAAGTCATGAGGGATAATTAAGTTATTAATTATAGTAGAAAGAAACAACATTTAGAAAAGATGATAATTTAAAGATCAAGAATATATTTAACATAGAAAATATGTGAGTGGACTCCAAGCACCAAGGGATATTTCTAGCGTCACTGTAGGTGCCTATACAACCATTTTCCAGCACAATGGTAGCCAAAGCAGACAAAATATATACATAAAAATAACCTGTGGGATTTTGCATCTAAGTAAACTGGTATACGTCACACTGAATTAAATGCCATGAGTGCTGAGACCAGATGCTGGATGATATTCAATTAGAATTTGAGAGTAAAGCATAGATACTAAGTTTATAACTGATTGAAAATGCCAGTGCAGATGGTAAACATGCATGACAGAACAGGGGTGAAGATATGAGACCCATGGTTGGAGATGAATCCACATGGTGAGAGGCTCCCAGAGACCAGTGCATATACCAAAAACAAAACAAAACAGGATGGTTGGACATTAGCAAAACAGGATAATTATTGCAACACCACCTGCAGTGTT